CGAGCTTCATTCTTTGTAATGAAAAATTAGGTACTTCCCATCTCAAACTCGCTTGAGCTGGTAGTTCTTCAACAGAAAGGGAGCAGAGGACTGCTCCCTGTCACTGCAAGTGACTTGTATGTACAGGTTACTTACCTGAAAGTAAGGCTTTTTCTTATGCTCAGTTTTTGTTGTGTTGGTCTTGTGCTATGCATGTATGGGCTTTTGTTTTCTGGCTTCTTTCACTTGAATGAGTTGATAGTGTTCAATGAGATGGTAGTTGTTCCTTTTGATTCCTTCTTAGAATCTAGAGAAACATTAAGTGCAATTTCTGGGTTGTTACAGGTGGGGCTTTTCTGACTTCATAATATATAATTGTGCAACCCTAATGTTACTCCTCCTGTGGTAAGTTGACTTTACTGAATATGGTATCGCTAATTACTTTTTCTCCTGATGAGTTTTCTCTTCAGAAACTGAAGAGACAAAATATGTGCTTTGTCTTGATTTTTCTCCTGGCTTTGATCTGCTGCAGGGATGAGTCCAGTCATGATTGTTTCTCTGCCTGCTGGGCCCCATGTATCCTGAGGTAGCAGTGTTTTTTGGCTGTGAACCTTTAGTATGTCACACTTGGTGCTGCCCCTGCTGAGACTCACAAGTTGCATGAGGAGAGTTTAGACTCTTCCTCTGGGAATGTTTTCTGAAGGTCCTGTCTTGAGGCAAGAGTTGTTGTGTCCACACTGGCTTTCAGCCCCAGAGTAGGGATGCAGGTGTGGCTCTGGCAGAAAGCATTCAAAGCTGCCTGTGGCACTGTAGCTGTCTGAGGAGCAGGACCTGGTGCTCTTTTTGTAGGAACCTGAATAAGGTAATTCCTTGTTGAATCATTGTGTATCAGAGCATGGACTGAGGAGAATGTTAAAAGGTGGATGAGCACCAGCTTTGTGATAGCATGGTCTGGGTAAACTGTGAAAATGGTGCCACAGAATAGAGCAGGGCAGGAAGTGGCCAAGTGAGAGTGGAGTGCTGCTTATATCAGGTCAAGAAAGAAAAAAGCATATTCCTGCACAATTTTACACAAATTCTATTTACTTAAGAATTGGGATGTTTAGACCTCCATGAGGGTAAAAGCTAGGCAAATACTTCAGAAAGTTTTTGGAAATGAGTGGGATGCTGATGTACCTGTGTGCTACAAGTACAGAAAGGACACTGGACAACTCTACACTTAAAGCAACAATGGGAAAACCTTGTAGTCAAATCAAATTCCTTGCTGAGTGGCTTAATTTCTTACTATGGTATTCCTGTGGAGTGGATTCAGGGCTTCATTCAGGGAGGGGAGTTCCTGTGTTAAGTTACTGACAGTGTTGGTGACAGACACTGCCCTGCACAGGGTGGTGGGTACCTTGAGGGTCTGAAACACAGCAGTAGCAGGAAACTTGACTAAACTATAGAGCAGCACAGCTAGATACAGGAAATGCCATCTTTGAACCTCTGTAATTCAGTGTGAGCTAGTCTGGAGTAGGCTTGAGAGCTTTCCCAGCAGTTGTAAATCAAATGTGTATATTTTGGAGCTACAGTGTTTATTCATGTGTAAGTAACAGTTCTGCAGACTAATTCCAGCAATGCACTATATAATAAATCAAAAAAGAGGTGTTTGATTATGCCCTCTCTGACTTCAAGCCACCAAGGTCTTAGTGTCCTCAACACAGGTGATTGAACTGGTTTTCAGCTTATGGGATCAGTAGTGAACCTGTTGACTTCCTAAAGGATGGGCAAAATAACCAGTCATGCAGCTGCTGTGAGATTTGGGACTGATAATCTCTGTGTTGTGTGGCTCTCAAGGACAGAGGATTTATTTGCCAAACATAGTGCAGGCTGTGTTGCATCATCACATGCAGCTAAATATTGAGTCCATTTTAAGTGGGGAAATAGTGAAGTACCTGTTTCCACACTGCCTGTTTCAGTGCTGAAAAGCTTGATGTGTCTATTTTTCACAAACACATTTTGTAGTAATGCTTACGTGTGTACTTTCAGGGAAGGGTGTTCATGTTGCTCAGGTGTTTTCTATGAACTTACCATCTTCATTCCAAATGGTTTTCAACTTTGGTATTTGATTCAATCCCTTTCCTATTGAATCAGTATTGGCTTTTGAACACTTGTCTTGGATGAACCAGTGTCCCTGGATGAAGGGCATTTAGTCCAGAGCAAGGCATGAAAATAAAATGTCTCTGTGGTAATAAGAGGGTTTTTTACTTTTGCTGAGTAGAAAACTGAAAGTGCTGTGAAGATGATCTGTATGGCCGTGGTACTGTCGAGGGAGAAAGGAGAATTTAGTCTTGGTGGTTCAATCACTTTACAAATCTTCCTTTTAGAAATTTGAGTCTGAAAACACTAAGTTAATCTCTAGTGTGTGCTCCGAGATCTACCTTTTAAAGTGCTGTATCATTCTCTCTACAATGTCACATTGAGACCCAGCAGAAAAGTTGTGTAGTTTCTAATGAGAGCTTTGTGCTGCTATTGCCGTGGGTTGAAAGCTTCCTGTCTGCCTTTCACAGAGAAATCACAACGGGTTATCCTCACCCACAGTGCTGGCTTCAGCATCACTGCAACACCACTATTTATGTCCTAGAAGATGTCAGATGAAGGCCTTTCTTGTCCTAATGAGTCATTAACACTGTGTTCCAGTTTATTTTTTACTCAGGAATTTACCTAACAGAAGAATGAAATTACTAACTTCCTTTTTTTCCACTTTCTTTGATGCGCCTGCAAAAGGGTTTTGGTAGTATGAAAAGGTAGGAGAAAATGCAATGGTGCTTCTCAGGATGCTTCCTCTAATGTAGTTCTGCATTTCTTCTCATAGCAGTTCAGTTTTGTATCACAGATCTTATGTAAAGCATCTTTCTCCTAAGTGTTCACAATCTTGATATCCCAACTCCCCATTTTATCAGATGTCAGCCTATCTTGGAGAGAAGGCTCCTTACAGATTTTTTACAGAGGCCTAAAGGTAGACAAGTTGTTGTCAGGATCATATAGCGAGTATATGGCAATGGTATGAAAAACAGAGCCTGGATCCCAAGATTTTTTTATTGTGGTGCTTTAGCTATCCTGCTTTGGAGAGAAGGTTGAGAGAAAATTCTTCATTTCCTCATAACGCTTGCAGATGGGTGTTGTTCTGCTTCAGTAGCTAGGATTTATTTCTTCACTTAGTTAAGGGGCCCCTGAAGACCAGGTTCCCTGTTTCACTTTGTCCTTAACAGAAAGCACCTTTCTGAATGGACTGTGCTCACCCTGTGCAAAGCTTAATTTGTCTTCTTTCCTCCCCACGTGTCAGCCTGCCAGGATGGCTCTTAGGAGCCATGCAGCTCTGTATTGCATGTGGCCTCATCATTGCAGAAATAAGATTGTGCTGGCCAAAACTACGATGAATTCTTGAAGGTTGCCATAAAGCATTACTGCAGCCTTGCCTGGGAGACAGTGTTATTCCAGAGCACTGTTAGTTAGGAGAGGCAATCAGTGTGTCTTTAACTGAATGGTGCCAATGGGAATGGCATGTTAGGCAGGGCAGCTGCAAGCTTGGCCTGAAACACGACCACCCTTGAAACCCTATCTCTACCCCACTGACCCGTGCAGGCTGACTTCATACTGTGATGGGAGACCACGTGGGTTGCGTCAGTGCCTGAAATGTAATTGCATCCTGGCAGTGGGGCAGATCCTGCCTGTGTGACTGATAATGTGTTACTTGAAGCAGGGGAGGAATTGCATTTATGCATGTTTTGTGTAGCTGACCATGGAGGACTGACCTCAAAAGCTCCCTCTTGTGCCTATGTCCTGGGTTACCTGAGTGGGAAGTGTTGGCTGTCCTCATTGGGCTAAATGAAGTTTTGGGGCAGGTTCTAAGTAGCTATTAGAAAAATGAGAATGTGAGATGATGTTTCTCAAGGGTGCTTCCCAACAGAGCCTGTAATCCCTCAACTAGGATTTCCCCACAAAATGTGCTTCCAAGTGTTACACGCTCACAAAACTTTTGGCAGGCTGGATAGTGTCATCTTCATGATAGATGAAACTGGGTGCCAGAGGTTTGTTTGCTCTAGTTTTATCCCTTGCATTCACAGTTCTCTGGCTGTGCAAAGCTTTTCCTTATGCCCCTTGATCTAAAACACCCCACGAGAGGAAGCTCGCTGGAGTAAGGGGAGGCTGTAATGGACCTGGAAAGTATTAATTGAGAGCCAGCCTCTCTTCTTTTGCCAAGTCCCTGCCACAGTTACGAACCACAGTGGGAAAGGGGGTGACCTTTTTCCTTTTTTGTGCTGGGTGAAAGTCACTCTCTTGCAGAAGTGCAGAGCAGTGGAGAGCCTGATGTGTGACTGGAGCTCGCCACGATAAGCTGGTTGTTTTCCCTTCTCCTTTCCCCTCCTCGCGCTGTGCTGGGCTTATCTGGCCGCCTGAGTTATGTTAAGTAGCGGGTGCATGCTTGCTCTCTGTTCTCCTCGCTGCTTTTGCTCCTTGGATTTCAATTCCAAACATGGTTATCCATTTGGGGTCTCTCTCCGTTCCACTGCCAAGAGATACACATTCCACACTCATCACCAGCTCCCTCTGCTGCTCTCTCACGTTCGCTATTCCATTTGCTGCAGCGCAGGCGAGACAGGCAGTGCAAGGAGATCTCTGTCCTGTCTGTGAGTTTTCCAGCTAATGGCCTCGACTCTTTTTCTGACTGAGCTGTTTTGGCCTCACATTTGCCAGCTCCTTTTCTCACTGTTGTGGCTAAGAAGGGGGCCAGCCGACGCTTTGTAAGCCACAAAGAGGAGAAGCGAACGCTTTTGGAATTTTTCGGGTGCAAAAACATTCGGCAGCACTTTTTTAGCATGTTACTTTGAAACACTGCTGTGGGACCAGACGGTGCACAAAAGGAAGAGGAGGAGGAACAGCTACCCCGCAGCTCTGCTTTCCAACCTCTGCAGCACCCTTTGTGTATGACAATTCATTTTGAGCGCAGGACGGCTGGGGAGGGTGGGGAGTGGGGCAGGATGAGTGCAAACAGCCCCTCCTGGGACCAGGCTGTTCTCCAGCCTCCGGTGTGTGATGCTTGGAAGGAGATTACGGAGGAAGCAGCCTACCAGCTGGCCAGCTGCATTGTCCTCCTGGGTTACATGGGGGGAAGTGGCATCTTTGGGTCCCTCTATATCTTTGGCCTCCTGGCCCCAGGCTACTTCTGCTATGCTCTGTGGGGCTGGTTGAGTGCTTGTGGGCTGGACATCTTCATCTGGAACATGCTGCTGGTCCTCGCCTGCTTGCTTCAGCTGGCTCACCTGGCTTACCGGCTCCGCAGAAACACCATCCCAGAAGAGTTTGACCTCCTCTACAAGACCATGTACCTGCCCTTGCAGGTGCCCCTGGAAGTCTACAAAGAAATTGTGAAGTGCTGTGAGGAGCAGGTGCAATCGCTAGTCAGAGACCAGAATTATGCGGTGGAGGGCAAGACGCCCATTGACCGCCTCTCGCTGCTGCTGTCTGGCAGGTAAAGGCTCCCCCATTTCTGAACAAAGTCTGACAGCAAACTGCTGTGGCTTTTTGTTGTATTATCACCCTCTGTAGAAACTGGGGTGAGGATTGTTTCCTTCCTCTGATAAGGATCTGAGATATGCATGTTTGTTGGGGAAGGGGGAAATTTGCTTTTTGGAGTGTTAGTTTTGTTTTGTTTTTCTAACTTGAGAGTATTTAAGGGAATGGTTTACAGACTCAAGCTGTGGGCAATGAAGTGGAGCTCAGCCTTACCTGTGATACTTTTGATGAATCCCTACGCCTTTGTCTGTCATTTTGAAGTGATCTTAATTCTGATGGGAGCAGACTGGCTGTGAGAATGTGTTTCTCAAGGCAGGAGAGCAGTGTGTCTGGACCTGGGGATACCAGGCACACCTCTGTGATGTGAAGAGCTGTGTGCTGAGTGTGCTGAGGCCTCAGTTCACCTGCTCTCCCTGGCCAGCCGTGTTCAGGGAGAAGTTCCTGTTCCCAACACCTCAACCCTCAGGGCTTTGACATTTTTCACTTTGAACACCATTTCCTCAAAAGAGAGAGTATTTTCCTGTGGTGGATCCTGCCTAATCAGGTGCTTTTCTTTCCCTGTGCTGTCAAGTATTTGTGATATTCCTTCTTCTGGACCACCAAGGAGAACCTTAGGGACCTCTAGAGAGTGACACTGGAGATTTGACTGAATGATCAAATACTGGCATTCGTTCACCTGAGATCTGCTGCCTTTAGCAGCATATCCACTTAACAATTTGCAAAATCCAGATGCATACAAATAGTAATAGTGTTGGCTTCCAGTCTGCTGCCAAAAACTTGGCACTAATGTTACATAAGAATGGGAAAGAAAGAAGATCTCTAAATAGTAGCAGTGCTGAGCTGCAGGAGGTGTGTCTCACAAGGATTTTCCTTTGGGAATACAAAGCATCATCTGGGGCTCCTGTTTTACTGCAGTGACCAATCCTCTCTGATGAGGGAGTTTGCAAAGAAGAATGGCTGACCTTCCTTTTTTTGGTGTTGATCCCTTTTCTAAGATGTGTCAAGAGCACCCTGGGTCCACCAGGATATTGAATGGCAAAGCACTGGAGGTAAATTTGGTATGTGTGTTTCCAGTAGTGCTTCACCTTACCAAACATGTCTGGTGAGCAGCTGGCTCTGAAATAATAATAAATATAATTAATAAATAATAAATAAACTCCCCAGTAAATAATATTGCTGGGGAAGAGTCTGTGCTGTCTTGACCTGCACTGGATAATGTGATGCTACTCTGTGGGCATGACAGTGCTGCAACAGACAGTAAGATGGCGATGGTGGGTAGTTGTTGGGCTCTCTTTTGCAGTGGTAAGGATGCATCTTGGCTGGTAAAGGATGCTCCATGGAGGTGGGAATAGATTTACATTTCCTAGTACCCACGCTATTGTCTTGTGAGGTCCTTGCTGACCCAGCAGAGAATTGCTGTTATGGTGCTCTTTCTTAAACTGAGCAAGTGGGGTCTTGGAAATGCAGAATATGCCTGGATTAGGAAATGTGCTTTACAATCCAGGACCCTTGCAGGCAGCACTGCCAGCAGATTAGAAGCCAAAGGTGAACAGAGTCTTTTAACTCCTGAAGGCAAGAATTGCTTTTGAGCATCATACAGCAGGGGTACATGGTGACAGGAAAGCAAGAGGCCCCAAGTCTGGTGATGCAGAGCTATGAATAGAACTCCAGAGTGCCCTGGCATTGTCCCTGCTTCAGGCCTGTGCAGGTCCTTCTCCGTTCCCACAGCAGAGCTCAGTGCACGTTTGACCTTGACCCTGGCAGGCAATTGTAGCAAAAGTAGGCAAAAGGGATACTTAGAAGGCCAAGAGAAAATGAGAGTTAATGTGCAGCAAACTATGAGCTCTCAGGGTGAACTGTGAGGAGCCATGGGCAGTGGGATTTTGGGGGATCCTGAGCGCAGTGACTTCCCAGAACCAAGACTGGGAATGCCTTCATGAAATCTTGGAGACAGGAAGGAGATACAAGTACAAAGAGCCACAGGCTGGCTTAGAAGTACCTAGAAAGCAGCAGCCTGTGGACTGAGAAGTCCTGGGTTAGGACCAAGCATTGCACCTGTGAGGGCTGTCTTTGTAGCAAGGAACAGAACACAGATGGAGTATGGGGAAGCAGCAGCAAATCCCACAGAGAAAGGAGGGATAGCCTCATCACTAAAGCACCTGCAGCTGTCCCAAGAAGGTATGAGACATCTGTGAGACAAGTATTTCTTTCCTCCCTGTTTGGGACACACTGTTTGAGCTATCAGATTTATGTGACATCTGTTTTGTGGCCTAAGCCTGTCTGCCTCACCTGTCCTCTGCAGGATCCGAGTGTGCCAGGATGGACAATTCCTTCACTATGTCTTTCCATACCAGTTCCTGGACTCTCCAGAATGGGAGTCGCTGCGACCTTCTGAGGAAGGAACTTTCCAGGTAACCACAGCTCACCTTCGCTCCTTGGTGCTTTGCTGCACGTCTGAGAAGGAGGTAGAGAGGCCTCATTGTGCCATTCAAAGCTCACCAGGAATACTTTCCTCCCCTTCCTGGTGGTTTAGCCAGCACAGGATTGTGTGATCAGCTGTTTAACCTTTTTTCCTACCTTGTTCTGAAGACCTCAGGGCATGCTCCTACTATCTGCTGATAGCAAGGAGGGTGGAGCACGGTGCTCCTTCCTGTTTATCAGGGAATGGAGGTGTCAGACTGCCGGCTCTCTCTCCTTACAGTGTTCTCTAGTGCCTGTACTGATGCATTTGCCCTGCACGCTGCTAGCAGGGGGCGTTGTCCTAGCATCAGGATGGCAGCCGTGGCAATGTGCAGCAGTGATGTAAATCTATAAACATCCTGCTCCTCACAGAAGTTTCTGATGGTCATTTGTTTTGGGTGGAGAAGCAGAAAGGATGATTCACACCCAAATATGGTTCTTTCTGAGCAGAAAGATCCCCTGCTGAGAGGCCAGACCAATTCTTATTTGCAGTAACTGAAAGGATTTTGGCCTTGCTGTCAACACCCCACAGTGTTTCTTTGGCTTTCCTTCTGGAAAAGATTACTTAAGCCTACATCTCTCTGTCTTTAACACACATCTCAGGATGGCCTGATACCTGTCAGGATGTCAATCCTCATTATGTCAATTAGGGCATATGAGGAGGGATTTTGCTAATCCCTTGGGAGCATGGGAGGGTCATGAGGGAATGATGCTTTCTCATGAGGGTAGCCCCAAGCAAAGTTGGTTAAACCAGGGCAGCTCTCCAAATCTGCTTTCCTAGGGTCTGAATTTGGCTCGCGTGTGAAAGGTTCATGGTGATTGCTCCTGAAAACAGTGCCATCACCAGTGGTTATGGTTGTAGGAGATAGCCAACTATGTGACTGTGGCACAGGGCTACAGATAGTGAGCAGAAATAGGGATGTTGGAGCAAGATAATGAAGTAGAAAAAGCAACAATAGCATGGCTGTGCTAGGGCTGGTGATATCTCATGTTTTGCAGTCTTCAATCTGGCAGCAGACTGCTGCTAGCTCCAGGGCTGTATTAGCTCAAGAATCCAGCAGAGAGAGTCATGGGCTACGGGCAGGGAAATAGCTGACTGCAATGGCTGACTGCAGGCATGCAACCTGCAAAGACATCCACAGCATTTTCTGGGCTGATTCCTGTGGAACTGAATGTTCCCAGACCTCCTGAGGTCTTCATCTGTGGTGCATGAGGCAGCCTGGGAGCAGGCTAGGGCCAGGCTGCACCAGCCCTGCCAGCACCATGCTCTGGCACATCTCCTGCTCTGCAAGACAGGGCTGGTCAGTGAGGTCAGCTGTGCCTGGCATCAGGATGGGGAGGTAGAGCCCTAGGTAGGGAAGGCCATATGCTGGAAATGCCTCAACCCCACGTGTGCTTATGGAGGAGCATGAAGAAGTAGGAGCTGTGTGAGACCAGCAGTCACCAGGTGTCACTTGACCAGTCCACGTACCTGGAAGGACCTTACTCTTGGTGGCCATGCTAACCATGGTGATGTGCTGCTTTTGGCAGCTGTTTAACACACTCGTCCCTCTCACCCAAGCAGTTAATAAAACTCTGTAACTTACCTCAACCTTGTCTTAGCAACACAATAATTTGGTTTAAAAAGTGCATGTTGGACTCTGGGTGTTTGCTGGAGGAAGGCATGGAAGGTTTTTCTTGCCTGAAGTTTTTCTTGCCCCATTGCTCTCTGGATTGAACAAATTCAATTCTGAGCCCACTGAAAAATGGCAGAAGCATGACTTAGTCTACAAGAATAGCTGCCTTCCTTGAAATTCTGCTTTGGCTGATTGCTTCCCACAGGACTGTTGGGTCCGAGTGCCTGAAGGAGTTTGGTTTCAGGGCTGGCACTTTCCCCCAGAAGACTGAATTACAGGCTCTTGCTGATGCCGGAGCACTTGTGTCAGGGGGGATTCAGGAGTGAAATCTGTCTTGCTGTCCTGGTTTGGTGGCAGGTTTGCTTATTGCATCTCAATCCCTCACAAGAAGGGATCACTTTTGATCACTGCACCAGAGGTTGGTTAGGAAAATGAGATTCTGGTCATTTCAATTTCTGTGTGACCCTTCTTTTTGCTTGCCTGGCCTGGGAAAGTTCTCAGGTTTTATCTCTTATATTTCTTTCATCAGACAGCTGTTTGCAGGGCAGTGGCATTAAATATCATACCCAAGGACACACACATGCAGCCAAGCCATGTTCAGCTTCCCAGTGGCCCTCTGCCATGGCGGCTGACCAAGGAGACCCCTGGGCACAGAGTGAAAGGGAGCCCCCGGGATATTTTGGTTCCGGCACTTGTTCGCATGCCAGTGTCTCCATTACACTCGGATGTTCTTCTTTGGCCCAGGGCAGCTTGACCCTTCCTGCATTTCTTGTCTTTATTATTATTATTTATTATAATATACACTTACATACTATATAATGGTTTTCACTGAAATTGTTCTTGTCCTACACTTAGGGGGAAAAAGGTCTCTCTTTACACTGGCAAAACCAGAAGGAAAATGAAATGTTCTCTAAAATCAATCCAATAAACCCTCATGAGTTTTCTACATATACAATAAAACCTTTCCTCTCTCACTGAGCTGTGCTGCAATGTCCTTCAGGGCCATTCAGCCCTACAGAGTCTAGCAGAACTGCTGAGACAGGATGTCCCTCGGGCACAGGATGACCAGGCAAGCTTTTCAGGTGGCCCTTCCAATACTCAGGGTCTTCTTGGAGCAGGGCCTGTGGGGCTTTGCGATCTGGCAGCAGAATGGGTCAGCAGCCTCCCCCAGGGCTCCTTGCTGGCAACTCAGGCTGACTGGGCATGCAAAAATATCCCCTTCTGTAGCATTTCTGAGGGATAGGGATGTCTGTGCTGCCCTGTTCATTTCAGCTCCATCCCTCAGATGTCAATAGGGAGCATCATCTGAAAGCAAGAGGGTGAATCGTAGCCATCCATGTGGCTGGGTTAAATGAGGACATGCTACTAATTGCATAGGAGAATGGGGGTTTTGCCTCCTTAGGGAGAGGAAACAGCAGCAGGTAAGGATTTATCCAGTCATTCAACCACGACAATCCGGCTCTCCAGCACCACCATCTCCAAGGGGAGTAGGATTCAAAGGGGCTGAGGGCATTCCCTGGAGTGAAGCACATTGCTCCAAGGTGGGTGACCCCGCCCAGGCAGTGGAACTTACTCCACTCACTCCCTGCCCCACAGGTCACGCTGACAGCCGAGACTGACTGCAGCTACATCACCTGGCCGAGGAAGAAGCTGTATCTCCTCCTGAGGAAGGACCGCTACATCGCCCGCCTCTTCTCCTCCCACCTGGGCTATGACATCTCGGAGAAGCTCTACTCCCTCAACGAGAAGCTCTTCGCCAAGTTTGGCCTTCGCTTCGACATCCGCCTGCCCAGCCTCTACCACGTCCTTGGGCCAGCCTCCTCGGAGGGCGAGTCAGAGGACTGTGAGGAGCTGCTGCCGGGCCCTGGCCAGGCCAGCGTCTCCGAGCCGCCGCCGCAGCCGCCGCCGCCACCGCCGGCCCCGCGCCCCCGGGCGTCCCGGCCCGACAGTGATCTGCTGGGTGAGGACTCCACCAGTCTTGTCTTGGAAGATTTTGCTGAGTTGCCGGGGTCTTTTATGGACTATGTGAGCGAAGGGGAGTATATGAAGTGAGGGCACTCCTGGCACGGGCACACCTCACCCTGTGTGGGACCCTCGCGTAAGTACCCACTTGCAGAGCACGTCTTTCCCGGGATGCATCTGCCTGGACAGAGCACTGGATCCCCTTTGCCATGGGTTTGCTCCTCTGCAGTGTTTTTTGGCTCGCTGCCCCAAGGAATCCCAGAAGGTGGGCTCAAGCTATGTGGTTTTCCTAAGGAAAAGCAGCAGGGCAGAGGCTTGACTCCAGGCACCAGCTGTACTGTGGGGTAGAAGGGCCAGTAGCCTGAACATAGAAAGCTCTTCCCTGCCCAGTTCTCTCCCCATCCCTGAAGAGAGGCAGAAACACTGAAATGGTGTCCAGGCTGGCAGGTGGTACACCAGTGGTCACAGAGATCATGAGGTAGAGCTATGCCAGGAAATACTCTAGTATTGGCCTTAGCAAGAGCTCTGCAGGTGAGAAAGCCCACATCCCAGGAGATGCCAACAGGACTAGAAACATCTCCAGGGTTTATAGCAGATTGGTAGCAAGGAATTGCTATAAACCCTGCAAGTGCTCAGTCTCAGCAGGGGGACAAAGCTGAGAGTCCTTCCTCTCCCTGCCCACTACAGCTCATCCCAGCATTAGATCTGTCCTCCTTGTTTCTGCTGAGATTCACCTCTGCCAGATCAGTAAGATGTTGAAAACTCTGCCTGGTGTGGTATAGGTCTTTCCTCCAGTCACCCTAGGTGGACTGACAGGCTAAGCATTGTTTTAAGATGCTCCAAACTCTGCTTTGCAGTGAGTGGGAATGAGATGCTCTCTTCCAAAATGTAAGCTCCTTACTCCACAAGGGAAAAGCATTCTTGTGCGTGGTGGCTGTTGGGGCAGAAGAACAATGCAGGCAAACAGAAATAGATGGGAGAGTGGCTTGTGCTTGAAATTCAAATCCAAGTGGCCCAGAGAGAAATTCCACCCTGAGCTACTTTTAGCTAGCCACTGCATGCCAGCTGCTACACACCAGCTGCAGACCCTAAAATGTGCATTCCTGCTGCCGCCCACAGTAATCCAGCTGCCAGGCACCAAGCTTGGGACTGGGATTTCTGTCCTAGAAGTGACCCCTGCGTGTGTCTCAGTTGGGTCTGCACAGCAGGAAGGAAGTTGCAGGGCTGGGCTGCAGCTGGGGTGGCTGCCTTCCATCAGGCAGCCCTGAACACAGAAACATTGCACCCTGCTCTTCTCTGTGCCTGCTTGGGTCTACTTAACTACCTCTGCTGTGGACCCAGTGGCAGGGAGCATTGGCTCCTGGCATGAGCCCTGACAAGTCTGCATTATTCTTCATATTATCTGGGATATAAAGAAAGTGACCAGGGAAAGAATAAGTGTATTTGTTTGTGGCTGGATCAGATAAAGAGTTAGCAAGAGTTTTGATTAGGGTTTTGTTGTTGTGGTTGTTTGGTTTTGTGTAGTTGGTTGTTGTTTTCTTTTTTTAAGGAGGCAGAGAGAGGAAAAAAAATTCACATTTGTTCTAGGAATGTGAAGCCCCTGGTTTTGCTGGTAGGCTGCTGGAGATATGAATTTGCAGCTTTTTCAGTCCTTACTTGGAGAGGCAGGAACACTGAATCACTTGTGAGACATCCATCGTCCTAGCTGTCAGAGTGTCTGCGAAAACGTGCAATCACAAGTGCATGCAAGAAGTGTTGTGAACACAGCAAAGTCACTTTGCCTGTGCTTTGATTCTATTTTGCCTTCTCAGAAGGAGGATATCCATTCTCAGATCACTGGTAGAATTCTCCTGGTTGATCAAGCTCAATAAAACCAGAATTTCAAATGCAATAATAAAGGAAGAAGGCAAGTAACTTGTAGCTTTTTTGGAAAATTTCCACCCATTTTTGGCAGTGAGGCAATACTGTGAACATACACACAAGGGTGTGTGTGTGTGTTGGGCAAAACTTTGCTACACAGAAAAAAGATATTTTTTCTTTCACACAGTCCTCTTGTGAGCTGGAAGCTCTTGTCTTTCTAGATCTTGTGACAGAGACAAGAGTGCTGCTATTGGCAGCAGAGGCCTGCAATAAAAGCCAGATGTTTAGAGGCTTGTATTTGAGGTGGGAGAGGAAGATGATCTTCCATGTCTGTCAGTCTGGAGACAGTAGACAGTGTGGTATTTTAATTTTTAAGGTAATTAGACAAGGAATCAAAAACTCTGTTTATTGTGCTCATAGTGGTGGAATGAGAACTTCCCTGTTACCTTACTTGGCACTTGTGTGTCCTAACCACATCACATCCCAGCACATCCCATCACATCCCAGTGGCACAGCAGCAGTTGTCACATCTGGACAATATTCCACAGTGACTTGAGTGCCTCACCACAAAAACTAGTGATACAGAGGGCCTGCAGGTTCTCCCTCTGTCCAAACACTTGTCACAGCTCAGCTAATAATCCAAGCAGGTCTGCCATGGCTCAGGTAAAGCACTTTCCTAACTTTTTCATACATCTGTAATAAACAGGGAAATCCCCTGAAGTGTCATTCTTCAAAGTAAGTCCCTGAGGGGAGAGCTCCCCTGGGGCTTTCCCCTGGTCTGTGCTCTCATTTCCTTTCCCAGTAACTCCCTACATGGGTAATCACCTTGCAGCTCTCTAGATTCTCTGTGCTGAAGTGCTTCTGTGGGTGACGTTCCTTTTCCTTTTCTGTCACTGCAGCAGCCACCTTGCAACACTGCAGTTCAGGAGGGCAATTCTTGAATGCCCAAAGTGCTACAAAGGTCATACACAAGAAAATATTCATGGAACATATTTTGGCCTACTATTCGTGTCATCTGGTTCCTTGAAAGTGTTTCTAGTCTGCTTATGAGTAAGATGGACTGTGATATCCCACTGATGAGCACATTCATTCTCTAAGGAGGATGCTGCCTGTTCGAAGGAGGCAGGTTCAAAGGTTCTGTTCACTACTTGCTTTAACAGTATAGTATAGCTCAGTGCTCCAGGGGAAGCTAAGCTTTATTCCTTGCCAGGAAATTTAAACAATCAAGAGTCACCTGCTTTTTCTCCTGCTCATACTGCATTTGTTCTAGTTTGTTGTTATCAAGTGCTTGCAGGATGTGTAGCTGTTGCTACCTGTTTTTTACAGTTACATCTTGGGGCTGCCTTTCTGTTTGGTGGGTGAGATGGGTGGATGGATGCTTGATGGTCTGCAACTTGGTGTCTAAGTTAGTAGTTAATGTTTTGTACCTGCTTTGAGAGCAAAAGCAAAGTAGTTGTGGGCTTTGTTTAACCAATATCACAGAAGCTTTGTGGAAGGGTTTGTTTTTGCCATCTCAGAATGGGTGCATAACCCTGTTTCCTGATTTATCAGTTGTTGAGGAATTACATAGTTTTGCAGTTTTGCAATGTCATAGGAGAGGAGGGGAGAAAAACAGGTAATGGTGGGCTCCAGGAGGGTTGTGTCTTGGAAAAGTTTGTAAGTATGGTAGTAATGGTGTGCTCTCTTTCTCTCTCTCCCTCTCTCTCCCTCCCCCCTCTGTTCCCTGTTCCCCTTTTCCTCTCTCCTCTACTGCATTCCTTCTGCAGCCTCTGAAAACCATCTCCAGAGCTCTCACCCTCTCTGCAAAGGACGAGCCCCTCTGGCTCCCACCCAGACCCCTGAACTCTAGGGAACAACAGGCTGCTTTCATCCCGAAGCCCCTCCAAGGGAGCAGATGCTCACACAGGTTTTTGACCAGAGACACTCTTTAGCATGCAGAGACGTCTGCCAGCAGATATCTACACTCAGGAGCACATGAAGCACATGCTTAGGACTGCAGTGTGACACTCCAGCACCTCCTACCCCATGGCTGTTCACCAGAGCTGCCTTCCCCAGTGTGCTTCCATGGTCTGTTTTCTAGTCCTGCCTCTCTGAGGTTGTCAGCAGCTCTGTCACCAAAGTGCACCAAAATCCTGCAAGCAATTCCAGCCTGCTTGCAGAATCTGTGTTCCTTTTGATTCAATGATTCCCATTAAAGGCAGAGATGAAACTACTGGTGTTTGAGGATTTGAAGAGGGAGAAAACAGCTGAAGGGAGGGAGGGAGGATTTGAAGAGGGAGATCACTTGAGGTGATCTCAAAGCACAGAGTGGATACGGCAAGGGGAAATGGGCCTGACAGCTTTGGTAAAGGGCTTGCAATGGAGAGTTTGATGATATGCATCTCGCTGGGCATCCACTCTAGTAAGACCAGAAATTACTTTTCCAGGAGTTAGGATTTCTCATTTATGACAAGCACAACTTCTCAAAGAAGCTGGTGAAAAAACACTTCTGATTGGTTGTTTGCATTGATTCTTGAAATAAAAAAGAGAAGGAATTGAGATTGGGGACAGGCGTAGGAAAGAACCTTTTTTTTTGTCTGCTCAAGGTGGGTGTGACCTCAGGGTGCACAAACATCAAATGAAGAAAGTAATGGATACAAAACATCCGTGAAGAGAGCAGCCATTGGTAGGAAGGACAATGCCTTAATGGAAGCAGTCTAGAAATGGAAGGCCTCTTCCAAGTTCAGCTGCAACAGGATTTGTCTCATGAGCCATTCCCCAGCCTTTTCTTCAGTCAGGGAATTGGAAGTACCTGTGGAAGAATCCTGTGTCTCACAGAGCCTGGTGCAATCAAGTTGAGCACTGGGAGTAGGAGCCTCTCCAGGGCAGGTATTCAGGGAAGGAGCAAGGAATGTTGGTCTTCCCTCAGCACAGGGAAGAGTGTCCTTCAGTGCCTCTTGGCACAGCCATGCTGGGGCACAGCCATTCTGCCTGTGGGGCTGGCTTTGTGCAAGCCCTGGGCTGGTGGAGGCAGCCCCAGCTGCCCTGCTCACACAGGGGCTGTGGCCCAGCCTCTGGTTTGGCCTGTCCCACAAGTCTCAGCTGGGCAAAACCTGTGCCCTTGGGATCTGGCACTCTTGCCAAGGGCCTCTGGAATGGTGGGTATGTGGGATCTGTGATGTACACAGCTCCTTGCACTGCTCACCTTTGCTGCCACACCAGGGCAGGAGAATGGGGCTGCCCCAGGCCTGGGAATCATCCTGCTCATGGCTGTTACCATGCTCTGTCAATACATTGGTGATTCAGCCTGACTCCACTGCCTTTCACAGCTCAGAAATGTCTGCAGCAGATTGACATGGGAGCTGTGGGGGTCTCTTCTGCAAAGGAGCTGAAATGTGCAGTGGAACTGGGTGCATCTGTTGAGGTGCTTTATGCAACTGCCTGAAGCAGTGGACCAGGCTGGGCTGAATTACACACTGCCCTTCACAGGTGTCTGCTGAGCTTATATTCCAGTCTTCAACAAGAAGATCCCAGGAAACTCTTCAATCATGGTGCCAACTAACCTGGATCTCCCTCATGTTGTCAGAGTCCAGCTCTATCCCCCTCCCAAGTGTGTGTTGGAGATGGTGTTTGTTAGCTCTCCTTCCCAACAATCATAAGGCAGGGCCCAAAATCTTGGATGTAAACTGAATGCAGGAGCTAATCCTGCTGTGACACTGTCTAGTGGAGCAGGAGTGACAGCTCATGGCAAATGACTTGAGGTAATTCTTCAATGCTTTTAGCATGTCCCTCACCCCTGATCATGGAATTCCTGATGCACTTTTCTATCTCTCAGTGAAGCCAGTACAGGGAACCAGAGAAAATGGTCAACAGAAGATGTGATTTGTAGGCAAAAATGATGAAAGACTTGTCACCTCTTTAATTTGTATACGTATCGTGGTGTGGAAAAGGTGTGGGTGTGTTGTTTCTGTGGTCATGCATCCCTCTGTAATCTTTCACCAATTATTTCCAGACTTCAACTACTTTTTCAGGTCTGAACGGCTGTGCTGAGCTCCTGGGATTCATTTGTGGTAGGTGGCCCTGTTGCTACAGTGCTCCATTCTCCTACTACCTTCTATTCTGGGCAGATGGTGAAAGGAGTGCAAAATTGGATGTGAGAGCTCTGTGCTGCTCCTGGTGCCTGCTTCACTTCATGTGAGCTTCAGAGAGATTTATGTGCTGTGAAATCAATAGGGTCTCCTTCTGAAAGCATCTTGTAGGTGAGACTAGTGAGTTTCCCTTTGGAGCTCTGGCTAAGAATGACTCCTTCATGTGCCAAACTTGGACCACACAGTTTCCTCTTGGTGAGGAAAAATAACAGCTCTCACCTTTAATATGAAGATTACAGAACAGTTTATATATAAACCACTAATGAATTATACTAATACTCCCACTATAAAAAGAATTATATTAACCACTCCTTCTTTCATACAGATTCAAGCCTCAAGATTAAATTACTTTCCTGTCTCACTTTGAGAGCTGGGTACAGGACCCATGAGACAAAAGTGTCAATCCAGTCTTTTAACTGGAAGATTTTGCTGTAACCAGTTAACCTTGTATTTGTCAATCTGCCATGTACTTCTTTTCCTTGACATCTTGTCCCTAATGCAGGGAGTAAAAAACCCATCCAGTTTTATGGTGAAAGGATCATCTGGGAGAAGAGAGCAGCAATAGGTTTAGGACTCCTTTCTGGTTCTGTGTGTCCTGAAGGCAGAGCTAGGCACAAGCAGTAGGCAGGTCATAGGAGATGTCTGTTTTGCTGGGGAGGGTGAGGCCCCAGGGCAGACATGACATTGTCCTGCTGTGGGAAGAGCACAGAGAGGTCAGGCTGGGCATTGGCAGGTGCAGGTTCCTATCCTAACACAGAAGCAAGCAAAGTGCTGGACTCTAAACTGCTTTTCAAAGGGTAGGGAATGGGGTGCTATGCTCTGGCTGGGATGAACTGGCAGGAAGGATGTGCATGGGCTTGTGTCCTTCACCTTTCCCTTGAACTGAGCAGCACCACTGCTGCTCTGAGTGTTCCCAGCGTAGTGACAGAAGCACAGTTGTGAGCCTGTGCAACTCTACAGATTTCTATCTGTACCAAAGCCAAGTCCAGTGCTTCCAGGAGTGCAGGTTAGCACCTCTTTCAGGTAATGTCCCTTGCTGTCCCATTCATAAGGGATAAAAACACATCCATCCCAACTCTGGAGTGCAAAACATGCTAGTAAGGAATAGTCCTTATACTCAAGGGAGTACCTGGTATTGATATAGGATTGCCTTTTTTCTTCCCCTGTCTGAGACTACTGGATATAGGTAGATAGATAGTAGAACTTCAGCCTCCTTACTGTCCATCAAAACAGAATTTGAACCTACTTTGAAGTATCCACTAGCTTGCTTCAGCCTTTAGCCAGCATTTCAGAAACAATGTGGATGGACAATTGAATGTGTCAGTATAAACCCAGCTGTTTTGTCCTGCCTGCAAGAACTTTGGATCTGCAAAACTCCTGTCAAGAATGTTGCATTATGGAGAAGACAATTATCTCTCTCAGGATGAGAAGGACTTGGCTGCTTTTACTCTGGGAAAGGTAACTATGGCTGAAGGTATATACTCTACCATGTCTGACCTAGAAAATGCCAAAATGGTTGTCTATAGCCTTAGAGCTTTATAAACCTTGCTGTATAAGACACAGAAATATATTATTGGTCTTCTGTTGTCTCATCCTGAAAAATGTTTGCCTGTCACGTTTTAGATGGGGGCCCATTGTTGACAGGGGAAGATGGAGAGGGCAAACAAGGACAAAAGAATAAATTCTAGTTAGTACAAGCTCTTGCCATGGTTTGTGACTTAAGTATCTTCAAGGTGATGTGAGTTGCAGCCCTATTCCTTCCATGGCACAACACTTTTATCCTGGGGAAAGAATTTTGAAAAACTCCCAGACAACTACCTTTGTAGCTTTTCTCTTTCACAAGTACAAAATGAGTTACATGGGGACACAGAGGTGATGCAAAAGACTTCTTTAAGTGTTTCCCTAAACAGGAGGAAAAATGCAAAACAAACCACAGGCTGCATCCATAGGCTCAGTGCATCCCTGTATGACATTCCTGAGGCTTACCTGCTATTGAGAGGCAGTGGTGCTACACAGAATTTGCCAACAATGAATGGCTCATCCTTGCTCCAAAAATGATTCCTGGGGATATACTTGAGGGTCACAGTGTTTATCTGGCAGAGGGGAACTCGGTGGGCTAGCAGCCGTTTGCCTGTCTCCTGGTCCTTGGGTCTGCAAGGCAGGATGAGAGATGTGAGGGATGTGTTTGGCCAGCCTGCAGATACAGTCCACGTGCACATCCATGGAAACACTGGAGGAATCTGTGGTGTTGTTGTGAAGCCCTCACATAACAAAATGGAGTGAGAAGACTCGTCTGTCAAAATAAGGCATTGCATGAGCATTTTACAGGCTGTCTCTCCATGTTTTATCTCTGTATTCAGGAATATTGCTGTATAAATAGCTTTCCTTCCATCACCAGCTCTTCTTACTGTTGCATATTGATTGAAACACTGCTCAGCTTGCCACAGAGAGGTAAGTAGCAGATAAGTCAACATCTGTGGAATGGTGAATGGCATGGATAGGGATCAGTGGGGATCAGTACACAAACTGATCCTCAGTACACAAACAGTCCTCAAAGAAAGCTAAGAGGTGTCAGGCTCAATAAGAATGCCCACTGGACAGAGTACCACTCCTTTCCAGCTGTTATAATCCTTGCTTTGGGATGTTGTGAATGCCAGGAAGTTCATATGGCTGTACAAGTCAAGGGAGGGAGACTGGACAGGTTTGTGGAATACAAAAGCTAGTAAGGATAATGATCTCTGGCTCTGAAAGTCCCTGAGATGTAACTAGACACAGGGAAACTCTTTGGGGAAGTATTG